TTTTCCCTCAAATTTTGGCTATAGGGAGCATACAGTCACCAGAGAGACAGAAAGGAAAAGTGAGAAATCACCCCTCAGGAGAGATAGCCATAGTGCCACCCCTTCTCCCCCACCCTCCTCGTGGGATTTGGGGCATGAACACACAAGTGTCCAGTGTGCTGCTCAAGCTGCTGGGTCTGGGAGTCGAGCCATGGCATCAGCTGTGAGGGATCCAGTGCCTTGACTAACCTGTTTTTTAACTGGTACAAGATGATGAGTCAGACAGCAGAACAGCAGAAAGCAAGGGTCTGTGAAGTAGACATACATGGGAAGGTCTGTGACACGGACATACGTGGGAAGGTCTGTGACACGGACATACGTGGGAAGGTCTGTGACACGGACATACGTGGGAAGGTCTGTGAGTGGACATACGTGGGAAGGTCTGTGAGTGGACATACGTGGGAAGGTCTCAGTTGGTGTCTTGAAGCCTCCTGTGCCCTTTCTACACTTGTTCACTCGGGATCCTGGCGAGCTGAGGCTGGAAGTGGATCACAACATGGAGACCCTGCCATGGCACCTGTGTCTCTCTCTCTCTCCCTCTCACAGAAGAAATAAACAAACTTAAAAAAAAAAATGGTGCAAAATGGACCTACTTTATCCAGTCTGCAGGCATTTTTGAGCACGTAGTACACCAGAACCACCCTAAGCTCTTGGGAGCCAAACAAAGGAAAGGGATGGTCTCTGCCTTTAGAAGGTAGTTGGAGGTCAGGGCCAGCAGATGACATAATGATTATGTCACTCGACTCCAACATAGTTGACCACAGTTCAAGTCCTGGACCCAGTGGCTTAAAACTCATGCAAAGCATATGTGAGTGCATACCAAAAATCCTAAGAGGAGGATGGAAGAGAAAGGGTTCCAGCATGGCCATCACCCCTGGGGGTTGATGGGGTGATTTCTCGCTTTCTGTCTCTTTCTCCCTGGTGAGCGCACATGCACTATAGCAAAAATCTCTCTTAAAAAAAGGAAAAAAAAAGAAAAAAAAGACAGTAGTTGGGAGATAAAGGACTAGGTGTTAACTAAAGAAAAAGGAACAAGAGGTTAAAAGAAATAAAAACATCTAACTCTAACACAGCATAGTGTTACACTATGAGAATGAGCAAAGACCGGGACCAGCAGTTAGCGTAATGGCTATGTCGCTGGACTCCCACGTAGTCAACTGCGGTTCGAGTCCCAGACCTAGTGGCTTTAACTCACACCAGGCACATGTGCATGCGTGCCCAAGATCCCGAGAGAAGAATGGAGAAGGGATTGTGGCCATCCCCTCTGGGGGGTGATTTCTCGCTTTCTATCTCTGTCTCTCTCTCTCTCTGTCTGTCTGGCGAGCGCACATGCCCTATAGCAAAAACCTCTCCAAAAAAAAGAAAAAGAATGAGCAAAGACCTAGGAGAGCATAGGGAAAGGAGTTATCTAGGAAAGACCTCATACAAGAGGTTATGCCTCAAGCATAACTGTGATTTTACTCTGCAGTAATCTAAAATTCTTAGGCGATAGGGCCGTTACTATTAACACCATTAGTCTTTCTCACACTTTACAACTAGAGGGGAAAAATACTCAAGGTAAAAACTTTCAGGCCAGCTGGTGATGTGCTGGTTAGAGTAGCTGGATCCCACATGTCCAACTGTGCGGTTCGACTCCCAGACCTGGAGGCCTGAATAACACACCAGACCTCTGTGCATGTGTGTCAAGAATCCTGACAGAAGAACAGAGCACAAGGAATTGCAACATGGCCATCATCCTGGGGGTGACTTCTCACTTTCTCTGGTCAGTACACATCCCTAAAACAAAACTAAAACAAGAAATTTCTTGGAAAATAAAGATTAGCCAAAAAAGAAAATTCTTTTTCTCAATGTGTTTAAAAATAAATATAACTTTGGGACCAGCAGGTGGTGTAGTGGTAAGGTGCTGGACTCTCACATGGCTAACTGCAATTCAAGTCCCACACCTGGTAGCTTGAAAATCACACCCAGCGCACGTGTGTGTGCGCGTGTGTGTGTGCCCAAAACTCCAGGAAGAGAATGGAGGAGAAGGGATTATGGCATAGCCATCCCCCCAGGGGGTGATTCCTAAAAAGTGTCTGTGTATAGATACACACACACACACACACACACACACACACGTATATATAACTTAAAGTCTCATAAGAAATAAGACTCTTCAAAGATTTTCTAAGCAACATATCTCCAAACAATGACTCAAAGTAACTAAATTCTAGTTACCATCTGCTGGTCCCAATTAAACTGACTGGTGTGGCAGGCTCCATCAAGGAAGCACAGGGAATGCGAAGACAATGTAGCATTGGGCACTCTGCAACTATTCTGCAAGTCAAATGCTTAAATTTCAGGTTAAAATCAAATGTCCCCCTAAGCAATCACTAGAAGACTATAACAATACATGCATTCAAATCTAAGGAGAAATTACCTCTTAAAAAGTTAAGAGACAGTAGCCCTTTCTCTATACTAAGAAATTTCAGTAGAAAAAGTCAATTCCATTCTGAATAGATTTTCCATAGAAGCAGAGAATAACAGAATTATATTCTGAAATGCTTATAAATAGATATTTACAAAATAATTTACATTCACTATGTAGATCTGAAATAATTTGAAAATGAAAAAGGCATTTCACACTTTTTCTTCATTTTTATCAGAGAAAAAATACTTACATTTTAGCATTAAGAACAATGCAAAATAAGGACTTCCAGCATACTTTTAGAGCTTTTGGACCTACAATTCTAAATAAATACATTGGGTCATCAGGAAAGTCAGGACACATTTTCACATAGGAAAACATAGAAAAATGTGTCACGGCTTTCTCAACGACCTAATAGGTTCAAATCCTGGCTGCACGAATATAAACTTTATTAGCACACTACTAAGCCTTGGTAAATTTCAGCTTTCTGTAATAACAGAGATAATATTAAAATTATCTGGAGACCAGATATAAGTATGTCCCAAACACAAAGTAATTACTCCATAGGTATTGATCATCATCAACACCCAGGGCTACAAATATTCAGTGAAGGCAGCAAACGAGGAAATAAGACACCAAATGAGCCTCAATTTCAATAACAGCCCTTAAACCTTGTATGTTTCCAGTAGCTAAAGTCAACAACAAAGATTTCAATCAGAATTGTCATAATCCCTTACAGTGTTTACAACCTACAAGCAAATTTCATATATACCAATTCATCTATTACTAAAATTATGCAATATGCGTAAGCAAGACAGGACTGTCATTTTTTTTTTTCTTTTTAGAGAGATTTTTGCTATAGGGCATGTGCACTCGCCAGAGAGACAGCAAGTGAGAAATCACCCCCTGCAGGAATGACCATGCTGCAATCCCTTCTCCTTTCTCCTCTCTGGATTTTGGGCACGCCTGCATGCACATACGCCCAGAGTGAGTTTTAAGCCACTGGGTCTGGGACTCGCACCATAGTCGGCTTCATGGGAGTCTAGCAACATAACCATTATGCCATCTGCTGGTCCCATGACAGTCAATTTATTTTAAAGATGACTGAATCCAAATTCAGACAAAATAAATCACGCAATTAACAACTGAACCACATTTACTGGGCAGTGCATTGCACATGAAAGAGTTCACAAACGGATGTGTCTTATTGCTCCTCTGTCTTCTGCCTCTGTTTTGTAACTGACTCAACAAAGTCTGCTCTGCTCTTCTCCCTTCTCCCAGGGGCCCCGCAGGCCTCAGGCTCATGGCCTGCCCATGTCTGAGCTGTACATGGACAAAAACAGATTTTTTTGGCTTCTTCTCAAGAAATATTAAAAAGCATAGTGCACACTAGAGACAAAGTGAGTGCGGGAGGGGAAGAGTGTAGGAAATTTGGGGAGGAAATGGAGAGGTAAGACACTTGTGGGACACAGATAAGATTTATTATCTATTGACAAGGTGTGCATGGTAGTATCAACTGGGGCTGGACTGAGTGTATACCATGCTGGGTAAAGTCTCTTCACAATCTAAATGATGCATAGTGATTTAATGTATAAATAGTAATAAATAATAAATTAAAAAAGAGAAAAAAAATATTGGAAAAACTACTACTTAAAAAAAAAAAAAAAAAAAAAGAAGAGATGTTCTGGCCTCCAGGAGACCAGCAGGTGGCAATACTGAAACTTTATAATTCCACACAGGCTTCAAGCACATGTCACATACAAACCAATTATCAAACAGTCTTGAATTGCACTAAGAAGCATTAGCCTAACTAATCAGAAAATTGATATTCTGATTTCACATTTCTCTTAGAGTCTCTGGAATCCTAGGTGAAGAAAGGGTTACTTGGTTAATAACCTGAGGCCCCTGGGTTACCACCTAATGTGAGAACTGCGTTCAATGTGTAAAATACACAACTCTTTCAAACAGCTATAGTTATCCTACAACCTGTTCTTAACCAGAAAACAGTACGCATTAAGTATATATATCACTAAAATCAAGAGGAAACAAAATTAAATAAATAAATAAACTTGTGTTCATTAAGTGAAGGGTATCCTGTTAGGCTAGAAACATTTTGTCTTCAGAATCATTTAAAATAAGTTAGAGGGACCAGCAGTTAGCATAATGGCTATGTCACTGGACTCCCATGTGGTCGACCTCGGTTCAAGTCCCAGACCTGGTGGCTTAAGCTCATACCGGACGCATATGCATGCATGCCCAAGATTGGGAGAGGAGAATGGAGGAGAAGGGACTGCAGCAGCGTGGCCATCCCCCCTGGGGGGTGATTTCTCACTTTCTAGCTCTCTCTCTCTCTGTCTTTCCGGCAAGCACACACGCCCAATAGCAAAAAAAGCCTCTCAAAAAATAAATAAATAAAATAAGTTAGAAATAATTTTTCTATCAAAAGAAGCTTTAAAAGATTACATTAAAATTATTTTTAAATTTAAGTTATTCGGCATGAAACAAATAATTGTTATTTAGAAAGAAATAAAAGTCTAGTGAGGTAGTCACATACCCAGCTTCAGGCAGCAGTATGGAATATTCGTGCGGAGAAGTGGTCTCTGGGAAGTTGGAGAGGATGGCAAGGCGATGAGGAAGCAAGTCGGAGCCGTGATAAGTAAACAGGATTTCTAGAGCTTGTACATTGCTTTCCTGTACCAAAGGAAAGGAGACAAGTTTATAAGGAGAGTCTTAGCAATTAAGGAGGCATTTTGTACGACATCATTCATAAACTTAAAATTGAACAATAGAGAGGTAGGACGTTAGTGAGAAATAGATATGGCTTATTAACTGTTGATGAGGACATGTATAGTATTCTCAACTGGATTGGTCTGAGAAGTATTTCATGATGGGCAAAGTATTTTTACAAGCAAAATGAGAAATAGCGATTGACTGTTTTAAAAAATAATTAGAATAATAATAATAATGATTGGGGAAAACATAGAAAAGATATCGAATGTTGAAGTGGGGAGATTAATGTCTTTGTACTGACTGACATGCATGGCATTCCCTTTTGAAAAAGCAGTGTAATACACTGTAAAGTTATATGTAATCCAATGTAATATAAAGAAGATTATGATGATAATAAAAAATAAAAAAAAAACTTAAAATGGACTTTTATATGGTTCTGATATGAAGTGTTTTAAAATTTTCCAGAATTTTCCTAGCCCATATTATGTCTGTCAGTCTAACGCTACAAAAATGACTTGTCATTGAAACTTAGAATAAATAGAAAATTTTAAAATAAATTCTGTTTTTTACACATACTAAAGTTACAACAATAAAAAGAAATGGAATTGGAGATGCATGCAATAATATTAACTGCACAGCTCAGAGATTTATAGAGTGTTAATAATCATAATTATTTTATTTACAAAAAAGAAATTACCCGTGCATAAGTTCTTGCCGAGAGAACTATATTCTGATTTCTGAACTTCTTAAAGAATTCAGCATCATATCTCTGTTCAGATGCATGAGGCACACCTAGGATTTCCTGAGGGGAAATAAGTGATTTAATGAAAAGACTTTTAAATATTGGCCACAAGAAAATAATAACTTTTACAACTCTGCCTGCCTTAATAAAGCTAGAATGAATTAATTTCAAATATCAGCTGTTAGCTAAAGTACTACATCTGCATTCTTGCTTTTATTTTGAAAAGGATCATATTTACAAATGCTGTTAATTTAAATACAGACATAAATGAAATAGGCAGTAAAAATTAAATTGTAATAGGACAACTGAAATCAACCACCTGGTAAAAATAAATGCGCAACAGTTACACCTGGCTGTGTGTGACGAGCACCTGCCCCCTCTGTATGAGAACTTCATACTCGTTTCACTACCGCTAGTGATCTATGAAAAGTGAAGATCGAACTATTCATGCATTCAACAAATATTTACTGAGTGTCCACTATGTGGTCAGGGCACTAAGGAGAGGCACTGGTGATACGCTAAACACACACGTAAACTGTCCTCCAAGTAACATACAATCTAGTCGGGAAGGCAAACAGGAACAGGTGCCACAACTAGTTCTAAGAGGACAGGACAGGCTTCCTGGAAGTGGCCACGTGCTAAAACATTAGGCAGGAAAAGCAGTTAGCTCAGTATAACAAATGACTTACGGCTCATTTCTGCCATGTTTGATGCAGAGCCCAGAATCCCGGCACACTGCCTTTCACGTAACAACCAATATATATCTGCTGAAGTAATTTACTGAGATAGGAAAGAAAGAAGAATGAAGAGATATGGAGGAGCTGAGGGAGGAGGGCTGGAGCACTATGAAGTCTCCTCGTAGCCACGTTGAGTTTGGAACTGAAGAACATGTAAAAAGAGCTACCCAGTTATCAGGCAGACATACAGGTCAGGAATTTTGCACCAAGATTTAAGTCAGAGATAAACGATGTAGAGTTATTAAAGCAGAAAGAGCATGATTCCAAGAGAGATGAAGTAGAATCAGTTGAAAGGAGCCTTGAGGAGCAACATCATGTAAAGGATGAGTGAGAAAAGGGAATCTGCACCTGAGAAGTAGTGGAAGGAACAGTCAGAGAAGAGAGGGAAAAGCAATTTAATGTACACTCGTGGAAACCAAGTAAGAACGCACACTCTCTGTTCCTTGGCTCCTTCATCATTGCCGCTATTCATCTCAGTAAGACATTCCTGACCAAACCCTGGACCTCCATCTCACCAAAAGGCACTCTCAGGGACATCGTGGGGGCGAGCACCCAACACTGTGCCACTGGCTTCACTCTTCCTACTCACCTCCCAGCTGGCATCCCCATAATTCCTCATCCTGGCAGCTCAAACCCGACTATGACCTTTGGACACAAGCTATCAAATCATAGGAGAAATATAATGAAACCACACTGACAATTCCCATTTTTATTTCAAGTTTCTCATTTACTTTCAACCTTGTCTGGATTCTATAATAATTTAAACCAACTGTTGGGACCAGAAGTTGGCATAATGGCTATGTCGCTGGACTCCCATGTAGTCAACTGTGGTTCGAGTGCCAGACTCTGTGGCTTAAACTCACGCTGAGTATGTGTGTGTGTGTGTGCCCAAGATCCTGAGAGGAGAATGGAGAAGGGATTCCGGTAGCCACATTGCCCCGGGGGGGTGATTTCTCACTGTCTGTCTGTCTCTATCACTCTGGCAAGCACATGAACTCTATAGCACACCTCAAAAAAAAAAAAAAGTAAATAAACAAACTGTTAAAATAAATAAATAAATAACTGCATTTGTGAGGCTCCAGGGAAATCTAAACATGAAATAGGAATCAGAGGTCATTAGGGAATTACTACAAATTTTATTAGAAATAATAATATCATTGTGGGGACCAGGAGATGGTGGAGTAATGGTTATGTCACTAGACTCCCACTCCTGGGCCTGAAGGCTTGAAACTCACGCAGGACACATGTGTATACATGCCCAAAATCCCGAGAGGAGAATGGAGAAAAAGGGATGGTGGCACAGCCATTCCCGTGGGGAGTGATTTCTCGCTTTCTTTCTGTCTCTCTCCATTTCTCTGGTGAGCACACTACCCTATAGCAAAAATTTCTCCAAATAAATAAGTAAATAAAAAGCATCATTGTGGTTATGTGTTTTAAGTCCTTATCAATTAGAGATTAAGTATTTAAGTACTTATGGGTAAAATAATAAGGCATCTATCTAGGATATGCTTTTAAAATTCCTAAGTGAAAAAGACAAGAGTAGCAAAGTGAAGAATAGAAGGTATTATACAAGATTGGCGAGTACAAATGGTTGAAGCTGAGTCATGAGTATGTCAGACTTCATCATACTATTCCCTATACATTTACAAATGTTGGAAAGTTTTTATAATTAAAAGCCAAAAACGGATAAACTCAAGATGACTAAATTCAAGTACATATGCTATGCTGTCTCTCAATGCTATGTTTCCCTAAGAAGCTGTCTCCTGGTTTCTTTCAGTAACTTTCTTTACAATCCTTT